GTACTAGTAAGACTCTTAGGACAAGTATATCTATACATGTGGTTTCCATAAAATTCATGTGATGTAAATGCACAACACACATATATATATATATACGGTGAATTATAAAATAGAGGTTATGCATCGGGGCTTGCCTTGGGTAGGCACGGTGTCAGCTGAGTCAGTGGCGGCTCCGGGACCTCCTCCTGCATGAGGATCTCCTCCTCGTACTCCTCGACGATCTCCTCGAACTCGTGATTGTTGGTGGTCACGATCTTCGCCAACTCGTTCTCTACATGCATGCGATGACGATGCAACACTTAACATTTATGCAACAACAACTCTTAAAATAAGAATACACATACTAAGCTACTAAGGTGGCTCTAATGACTAAGATACTAAGCTACCTATCATCTTCATCAAGCAAAGTGTTGGATTCAACTAACAAACACCTAGCTTTACAGATGAATAATATATCTTTATTTCTACTAATGATTTAATGTATATTAAAACAAAGAGCATTTAACTACCCTAATGCTTAGTCTATTCTAAAGCTACAAAAATTATAGTGAACACATAATAATACAATGAAGCTACCATAAAAATTTCAGGACTAAACCTATCACTAATTTATCACAAAAATTCCTACAATAATTCTCCTATCAATATTAAACATTTTCAAATAATTTAATAGCTCCTAGTATCAACATATACATATATGAACTAAATACACTAACAGATAGAGCATAATTTTAGAAACTTAACAAAATTTGTTTCATAATTTTTGGACACATACATGATTTTATATGATTTATTAATGATCAACTCAAAAATTATATTAGAAAACTATTTCTAATTCCTTATGAAAAAGAAAAACGAATTCTCCCGCGCGGACCACACGACGCAGCGCGCGCGGCGGCCCGCGGTGGGGAAACCCTGCGCGCGCTGACGTTTTTGCAGAAACACCCCCGCGCCATCCTCTATTAACATGACAACTATGCGCACTATTTCTACAAACAACATTTATGCAAGAAGACCCTCATGTTAACCCGTCTTCACATCGGAGAGGTCCCCGGCGCCTCCGCGCTCGTCGACGCGGCATTGACCAGCACTGGGCCGCTACGCAGGCCAACTGGGGACCCCCTCGACCCATCTAGAGGACCGATGCTCACCTACGGGACAATGCGCAACAATGGGCAGCGATTCGGAGACCGAAGACAAAGCATGGCGACCTCTCAACATCGACGGACAACATGCGGTGGCGACAACGATGTTCTGGTGAGCCACGACACTAAGGGAGTAGTGGAGGCAGCGGGTGAGCATCAGTGACTCACCAAGGACCTAGCCGAGGCGATGGTTCGGCTGAAGATGCCCCGAGCAAGGCTGGCCTCATACGCGGACACGACCGCGTCAACAGCGTTGGAACAACGGTAGGGGTACAACTCATGTGCGCATGGCGAAGAGGGGTTCGAGGCAAGTCTAGCGGTGCAACCAATTTGGGCCGAGGTGGTTAGATGAGAGCTGCCCTCGGTGATGGGCGAACTAGGCCTTATCGGCACGGTGGTGGGGAAAAGCTCTAAAATTGAAGCTCGACCAGACGCCATTCAAGGCGAGGTGGGGATGGGTAGCTAGGCAGCTACGTGACGGAGCCAACAACACGACGAATCGACTTGAGGTGATCTCACCCTGATGAATTTAATGGCGCGCTCAACGGCGGCAGCAGAGGGAGCAAGAGAGAAACAGAGAGACGGGGCGCGGTAGGTGGCTCGGCTCGTCCTCGCCTTGGCGCGACACGAGCGGCATGATCAGGACACCCACGCGCGGGCGATACAGACAAGGCATGCGCGCGCGTCGACCAGCGTCTTAAATGACAAGGTGACGGTGGCTCGGCCATGTGTGCGCGGCAATGGCGGCCTTGACTGAGCCGGCAGCAGCGCAGACGGTACAACGGATCGACGCGGACACGACGATGATGCCACGACAGCGACAATGTCGTGGCACGAGGTGGGTCGACAGTGCGACGAGGCAGCAGTGGGCGGACGCGACGTCAGGGCGGCCGCGGCCACGGCGGCACCAATGGCGGCAGCGAGAGGCTAAGTAGCAGGGCTCGAGGCCAGCGGCTCGCTGCGATCAGCCTCGGCCAAACCCAGGCGCCCTGACTGACCCAGCGTGGTGGCACCGGGATGACCACATAGGACGCGGCCATGTGCGAAACGTGGGGTGTCCGCGTACACGGCGCCAACCATCCCGAGACTGTGACGTGCATGAATTTTAAAGCGCCCATAAAAACTAAACGGTTGCTTCTAGACCTAAACCATCTTCACCATACTCAAGATGGCACATGAGACTACCAAATCGAGCTATAACACTACACCACCCCTTAACCTAATCTCTCAAAATAATTTGCTAAATATAGCAATGTCTAGCTATTGACACACTAAAAATTTTCTAAGTTTTGAGGCAAATTTGATTTCAATTTACGATTTCTAAGCTAGTGGAAATATTTGCTAGTAATATCATTTTTTGACAGCAAGTATTTCACTGTCATCTATAAAGTTTGTACTTCAAACTTTATTTAAATATCACACACATGTTCTATAGCATTTTTGTTCACTAAAAATTAGTTTTAAACCCTACTCGATATACATGAACTATTGAATTAACTTTCGTTTAACATTTTTATTGATCATTTTAAGTCACAAGAAATTTATCTACACATTCTATTACATACATTAATACAAAAATATGATGCTCATGACATGTTTTAATAAACAATTTAGGGTGTAACACCGAGAGTGTTACAAACACCACACACAAGTAGATTGACTAGAAACCCTAGAAATCACCTCAACCAACAATATAAAATGCAAGTAATGTAAATCAAGCACAAGTGACACAATGAATTATCCCATGGTTTGGCTCGCCACCAAGACTTGCCTACCTCCATGTTGTTGAGGTTAGCCACTAAGGTTTAGGGCTTTCCAACGCTTTCTCATTCTCAAATCAAGAGACTTAACTTTTAAGATGAAGGGTGAGTATACTAGCTTCAAGAGATGGTTATAAATCTCTCAAGGTTGCGACATAAGTTGACAAGCTCTACGGACAACGCTCTAGCCGGCTAGGAGCCAAGCTCTAAGAATAACAAACACAACCGCCGACCAAAACGTGAACCAAGTGCTCTTCTGAGTTGGGGAATTAATGGAGCTGCTCTCAAATCGAGTTTTGGATCCTTTTCTCTCAATGATTGATGGAGAAATTAATGGATTTGCTTGAGGGCTCAAGGTCAACAATGAAAGGAGAGAGAGAAAGGCTCATTTCTATTTTGGACAAGCTGAAGTGAGGAAGAAGAGGCAGAGAGCCATTAGGGAGGAAGGGGAAGGGTATAAATATTCCCCAGCCCCAACGGTCACTTAAGTCACGATAAATATTTCCTAGCCCCAACGGTCACTTAAGTCACGACAGTGTCGCTGCTCAAGTGTGGCAGTGCCGCACTGCGGTAGTACCTCTCTTTAAGTGCGGCAGTGCCGCACCACGCAAGACAACAAGGGTAAGAGTAAAGTGTAGACTGTCTTGGCTGTGAATCTGAAGTTGCATGTGTATGTTTAAGCACTTGATAGCACATATTAGCTTAAGCATTGTATCCTCCTTTATAGTATGACTTTTTCTATACTTAAATTCAAAATAAAAAAGAATTTAAACCTCATTTGAGTTCGAAACCATCTACATTTGTAATTAGGGGCTCCTCCATTTCGTGTAGCATCCTCGAACATGAATTCCCTGCTTGTCATCTCGATAAATCTCATTAGTTCTCTAATTGCGTAGTCATTATCACCAAAACTCACAATTAGGGTTTGATTGTACTTTTAAAGACCAAGCGTAGGGTTGAGCCATGCAGATACACAAGTTTTTGTAAGTTGCTGATGCGGCATCGTGCGGGCCGCTTGTAGGAGTATTAATCCCGCTTGCATCACTATTTGTAGAGAGATAGACTTGTCACCTGTGGTGGTGTGGCCTCGAGTGGTTTGTGCTCCTACGTTGTATTTCATTTGGATCGTTGTTTCTTTTTGACTTTTGTATATTAAATTTTTACAATAGATTCTACACATCAATAGAAAATTACCATAAAATTTCACTACAAAAGGACTAAGAAAACATCCTCTTTCAGTTTATGAAAGAAAACATAGATCTATATCTACATGAAATATTTTATTCTAGTGTAGACCTAGTCAATAGGAGTTCAAAAAAAATAGTTTTGCTATTTTTTATTTTACTCTTTCTATAATTTTCACATAATTTACAAATTTATTGTTTTACCAGAAAAAAAGAGAAGCCAGGCCACGACTCGGCCTAGTCCACTAACGTAAAAGGCCCACGAGACGGATTCCAGCCTAGCAGAGAGGCTCATCGTGGGCTGAACTTTTACATCAGGAATCCCTGAGTTTCTCGAATTCAATTTAGATCCTTCCACCTTTTTCTTTCCCTTTTGCACTTTTGCACCTGGAACCCTTACTTATCTTCTTTTTCCTTTTTCTCATCCTCTTCCCTAAACCCACGGAACCGTCCGAATCTCAGGCTGATCCGTGCCGGCGGCAAATAAATCCGGATCGGACACGGATAGGCTAGACGAAAATTTATAGGTGACAAAATTTTCCTCTTTATTATTAGGTATAGATATAGATTATATTATATATATTATTATTAAATAATAATTAAGGGGTATAGATTACCGACAGGAGTATAGGAGTAATAATATATGGTATTTTTGTTCAGAAAAGGAATACTGTAAATAATATACAGCTGGCCGAGTCGGTTTGCTAGTTGTGGTGCTTTTGAGAAGAATCACAAGAAGCCTAACCTTCCGACTTCCTCGTCACGTCTTTCTCCGTCTCGAGAACTGTAGAGCCGCGCGCGCACCCAATCAGGCATTCAGGCGCCGCTCGCCTCCTCCCCTCGCGCGGCTCGCAGTTGTTCTTCAAGTGCCGCTTCTGCTTCGGCGCGGATCGTCTCCCGTTTTCCCGTTCATGGCCGGCCGCGGCGATAAGAAACCGGCGAATTCCGCCCCGCCGCGGAAGGGCGGTTCCCCTCACGGATCGGTAAGTGCAGCGATGGTCCAACACTCCAACCCCTCTCTCTTTCGGCCGCCAAAACGCCGATCTCCCCACTAATTTTCGGCCCCTAACGCTTGGTCCTCGCCGCTGTTGATTGCTACAATGTAGTGCTGCTGGATCGCAAAAATAACGCCATGTTTGTGTGGTGCGGCTGTGTTGGTGTTCAACGTGGGTTAGTTTCTTATTAGCTGCATATTCGTGGTTTGATAGGAAGTGGGAATTTGTTTTTTTAATGAAACACCGTATCCTGAATGATTTATCATTGTTTCCGTGGTTTACCACTTTTTGAAGTGGGAATTTGTGAACCATCTCTTTTCTAAACCTTTTTCTAGGGGAACGCAATTACTGTCCTTTCTCTGCAATTAGGACATTGAATATTTATGCCTATTTGTATGTACAATATATGAGTTGCAGTTTTATAGTTCAACTGGAATAACAAGATGTATGCTACTCATAGTTTGAGAATTGTTTGATTAGTTATGAATTCTAAATCTGAATTCAGGTAATGCTGGATATGGTAGGTATATTTTTGGCCTCGTTCGGGTTAACTAGAAACCGGCTTGTTTGGCTTATTTTTTCAGCCGGAACAGTGTTTTTCTCTCATAATAATTTAGCCAGAACAGTGTTTTCAACCAGTTTCAGCCAAGTTTCAGCAAACCGAACGGAGCCATTGATAAACCTCGATTCTTTTTTTCATGCTTCTGACAATCCATTTTTACCTTAAGGTCTATGGAAGCTCTTCGGCACCACGAAAACAGGGTGCCTGTACATTCTCTCCTTCGGTTAGCAGCAAAGATTCACAGCAAAAGTTGGTTACACCAGTTCAACCACAAAAACCTGTAGAGTCCAGAAGCAGTCAGTGTAGTACAGGATCTGACTCTGGAGCTGCCCCACTTGATATATGCATGAGTGCTAACACATGCGCTGTCAAGTTAAAACCTTCTATACTCGAGACCACCAGAGAAAAAAGGCGAGACAGGGAATGTTCCAAGGATGTAGCTCCATTGCAATTGAGATCTGGAATGGTTCTGTTGAAAAGATTCATAAAGCCTAATGATCAGGTATGTCTATGTTTACACATGTTATTGTTGTAATACAGGGTCAATCACGTACTAGTCATTATCTGAGCGTTAACTTCTCTCTTTTTAAAAATTAGCCTCTTATCTTTGCATAAACATCTTGTTGGAAGTAGTATTTTATCTAGGAAAAAGTAATGTTTATACTTTATAGGCAATATAAAGAGTATGAAATGTTATTCTCCATGCAACTTTTCTCCTTTTGAGAAAATTTGAGTGCTCGTTTCTTTGTGGTTTTTTCTTCAATGTCTTATCAGCACATTTTGTTGCAACTTGCATAATTCTTGGATTTCATATTTGCCATGAATGCGCGTGGTATGCTGATTTGATTATCATGATATTCTTAAGTACGTCAACTAATGAACACTTACTGCTGGAAGTATATACCTGACGCTTTTATTGCTCATATCAGGTTAAAATTGTCAAACTTTGTCGGCAACTTGGTGTTGGTCCTGGGGGATTTTATAGACCTGGCTACCGAAATGGTGCTATGCTAAGACTGTGGATGATGTGCTTAGGGAAGAACTGGGATCCAAATTCATACTCATATGGAGATAGACGTCCGTTTGATGGTGCTCAACCACCGACCATACCAGAAGAATTCAAGAAGTTCGTTCAAGATGGCATCCAAGCTTCCAATGAATTTTTGAAACAACAAAAAGGAGCTGCCAATGCTATGCAAGAAATCCCTGCGATGTCACCAGATATCTGCCTTGTTAACTTCTACAACAGTAGTGGGAGGTTGGGTCTTCATCAGGTACAAAAAGAAACACTTTCTGTGTTGGTATAATGCAAATATCAGTTTCAGAACATTGTAATTTCAATCTGAGACCAATCTAGTCAATGATCTAAAGCCTGGACTGCTACTTAATTTTTTTTCTTTTAAAAAGGAAAGGGGAACTGATTCCTGCTTAGCTAAATCGTTAAACTCTCTTTTTGGATGGGCACCTGCAGTTCTATAGGCAAGATAAAAGCAGAAGCTAGTTATTAGGCTTTACTTTTGTTTTCTCCGAAATGTGAATTTCATGTTCTTGGTCATTTCTAATAAAGCGTCCTTAATTCCACTGATCTAACAATTGAAATGTCATATCATTGCGATCTTGTTTGGTGATTACTCACTGGATTGTACCATTGTGTTATTTGATAGGACAAAGACGAATCAAAGAGCAGCATTGACAAGGGATTGCCTGTCGTTTCTTTTTCGATAGGCGAGACCGCAGAATTCTTGTATGGTGATGTTAGAGACGAAGAGAAGCTTTCAAAGGTTGATCTTGAATCTGGTGACGTCCTAATATTTGGTGGTAAGTCAAGGCTCATATTCCACGGGGTTTCCAACACCAAACCTAAAACGGCACCAAAGTGGCTGATGGACGAGACAAATCTTCGACCTGGGCGTCTGAATCTCACATTCAGGCAATACTAGGCAGGTTTCTTTTTTTACAGAAACAGAGGGGGAAAACATTCCCCACCTTGAGCATTGGCATCGGAACAGCGAAGAACTTGCTGTTCTATCAGATGAAATTTTAGTACAGGGTGTAGCAATTAAGCCATATAATTGAATCAATGCAGATGCACCAAGAATAAACTACACTCGTAAAGGCTCATGATAGTTGGGTTACTTGAAATTGCAAGTAGAGATCACTTATCATTTCTTATATTCCCACATGTTCTTAGCTAAAAGGTAGCAAGGAGATTTATCTAGTAACTGAAAACCACGACTTCATGCTTAGATGTTTGTTTTCATGTTCAATTTTTTGCTTTCATCATGCATGTGAGCATATGCCTATATGGGGACTTACATCAATTTTTACAGGCTTTAACTGAAATACAATGAAAATTCTTACAGCACTGTTATACACAACAAAACTGAGAAAACACTTAGCCGGTGGAGATATATTGAAAGGAACACGAATGACAGGAATTCTGATCTTTGACGTCTTCCTTGAGAAACAGAGGGAACCTCAACGTTCTACCTGCGGTGATGCATCTCGTCCAGAATAACGGTCAGTGCAAGGATGAACGCTCGGTCTATGCCTGGGCTGATCCTCGCAGTATACGTGTGCCTCCCGAGTAGTGCACCCCCTGCGGTGTTTTGGCGTGTAATCTGCAGGACAACCCACGATATAATCAGCTCAAATCGAATGGGGGAAAATTCATGAAAAAATAGTTTGGTTTAGGAGCTGAAAGATGCTGCTGGCCTGAGCAATGGCGGCAATGCGGCATCGGAGCTGCCGCGACAGACGGTGCACGCGCCGTCGTGGTAGCTGCCTCGGATGACGAAGTCAGGCGCCTCCTCGCCGGCGGCGTTGCCGGCCAGGAATACGTAGATCTTGGTCCTGATCTGGAACGCCGACGACTTGACCGCGGCGAAGAGCAGGTTCCTCCGGCTAGTGCTGTCCCCTCTGAAGACCTCCCACCTGGTGTCCATGAAGTAGCCCGAGTCCTTCATGGTCAGCACCGGGCAGCGCGCGGCGTCGAGGAGGAGGGACTTGCGCAGGAGCGCGAACACCGCGGCCTCCACCTGCATCGCCGCCGCGCCGGCGGCGTCCGTGACGGTGAAGTCGCGCCCCATCAGGCTGATCGTCTTGGTCACCGCGAACGCCGTGGCCACCGGCGCGCAGAACCGCGTGTCCACTACCGCCGTCACTGCCGGTTCCGGTGCCGGAGCCGTGGCTGGTGCTGGCGCATCCATCTTCTCCGAGTCCTGACCAACAGCCGGGAACCCGAGCGCGCGGTGCCTATATATCGTCGGCGTCCAGCCGACGAGGCAAATGACGATGTTGAGGTCTCCGGTCGGTTTGACTTTGACGCGGGCCGCCGCCACGTTGGCGTGGGCCGGGGTCAGCAACCATTGGCGTCAGTAATCTAGCTGATCGCTTCCGGCCCACCAATGACCAATCATATATCGACCACTCATTGGCCAGCGTAAAGTCGGCCGGTCCATGAAAATGTGTACGTTCTACTCTTGACGCAACACGAACTTATCCTGCAAACGGAGCAGCACAACACAACAGTCTTTTTTTAGGGAACGGCTGCCGGTCGTGTATTAACAAAGGAGAGTTACAAAACTTAGTAACAAAGAAAAAAAAAAAAACATATATACAGCTGCGAGGCAGAGCGTCTAATAACATAAACACAGCTCAAGTAGCAAAAACATAGTTACATTGATGGGACAATCTCTCTCGGACACTTTAACTCCTTCGGTGCACTAAAGCCTCGCTTCATCCCTAATCTTTCTATAGCTTATAAGCCAACTGATGTTGTTTTGTTATGAGAGAAAAATACTATATCATGGCTGATAAGCATGGCTGATACGGTCAAGCGAACAGGGTGGAGGTCTTCTCGCAAAAGAGTGGCGGCGGTTAAAAAAAATCTTAAGTTCCTTTCCTTCCACAACTCTCAAACAACTAGTAACAATAGTGATCGGTGTTAGAATTAACTTAGGGTTAGCTACTTTTACAACAGGATCTCTAGTTCTTAGATTTGATCTCTTGGGTTACCTTCATTAGTAGAGGAGAAAACCATTAGGCTTTAGGTGCGACCATGCCTACGTGATGCGGGCGCTGATGTAGAGAGGTGGTGATGTTGTCTCCCGTAGTCGTACCCGTTGCCGACATCCTCTTGGCGGCGGCGACTCCCTCCTAGGATCAACCTACGGGTGGTGGCGATGACCTCGTCAACAAGATCGGAGAAGGAGACGTGGGGCGGCGGCCTTGAATTCCTTTTAGTCACGCGCTTGATTAGATTGGGTACTTAGGGTTTTGGGTCTGCCTAACCTCTCCTATTTGTGTTGGCCGCCGAGAGGGTCAGGGAACCTTCTTTTTGTAAGCGTTGTATAAGGGGGGGGGCAATTGGGATTCCTTTTTGCGACTCGATCAAGTTGCGCACATGGGGTTTCCCCTACGGACTTGGTCTTTTTGTCCATTCATGAGACCAACACAACAATTGGACCACCTTACCCGATAATCCAAGGGGCGTCCCTGCCGTCGACCACCTATGTGAGATGGAACCAAGTCCCTGCCAATGCCATGTGCACTAGAACTTTCCACCCACAGGTCAAAAACCTCGGCCCATGCCCACCTGACGAGCCAATAGGGTTGGGTCGGATTGAGTTTGTCGGGTCGGGTCGCCCACGAATAGATCTAGGCTCAAGTCGTGCAAGAACCGTTCGCAATCTGCATACACCGATGATGAGAAGGCCTTTAGACAAATACATTGTGTGCAAATATAAAGTGAAGAGATTGGCTTCGTATTGGCAACTAGTTTTCTTTGGGTCGGGTTCATAAACCCGGGTTCCCTCACGGACCGGCTTCCCAATAGAGGCTCGGCCCAGCAGGCAACGTTGCGAACAACGCGCACCTCATGGGCCGGCCCGAATACCTGAGCGGCAGGGCGAAGGAGTGATCCAATCTCCGACCGGAAGGCCAGGCCGAGGAGGAACAGCGCCCGTTTCCGACTCCGGCCCACCTCTCCGACCGGAGCGCTCGCTTCGGCCTCAGGCCTGCCTCCGAACAGCCTCTCCGACCGGAAGGCCTGGCCAAAAGCACCGCTTCTGACTCTGACCCGCGCTCTCCGACCGGGGATATGCCAAGCCCCTGCCCGCTGCTCTTCTCCGACTGGCACGATCAGAGCCGACTGGGACCAACCGACCGGGGACGCCCGCTCGGTAAGGACCAGGAAACGTCCGGAGAAAGTAAGGCAGGGCGCACAAGTCAAAACCACAAATACAGGGACCATACCCTACGCACCTACCAGGCAGTACCCTACGACCATCCCTGGCACAACAGAGTCCAAACAGTGTTGTAGGCGCTGACCTTTTCCCTATAGTATTGTGGGCGCCATTAACTCCCATACGGTAAGGCACCCCCACATGCCTCTAGGCATCAACAGTGTTGTGGGCACCGGCATTTACCGTACCGAGTGAACATGGTAGAACTCCTCACATGCCTCTGGGCATCAACAGTATAGCAGGTACCGACATCTGCCATACCCGTAGTAACTTCCCATGTGCCTCTAACACTCAACAGTGTTGTGGATGCCTACAGACATCTTGTACCCACCGGCGTGGGTAACAAGGCTTAGAAACATACGTACTATCTCCCTCTCACTTGTAAGGCCATCCCCTTTATCTATAAAAGGGGATGCGCTCTCTCCCAATGTTCAAGTTATTTTAGATTCATTAGATCGATTAAGTTCACTAGTACACAACCATAGAACCGCTAGGTTCGAACCATGAGCACATGCTTGAACACTTAGCTCATAGCGGGGCTCCTGTCGCTTTTGGTCCCTCTGACCAGAGTCCGATCGGACCTCTTGTACCCCCCATCTTTCTCCTTCTCGTTTGTAACCCCACTGCAAACTTCGAGCACCTAGGCTCAGGAATAAAGTCACCGACCGACTCAAACTGGACGTAGGGCACGTTGCCTGAACCAGCATAAATCCTGTGTCATTGAGTGCTAGGCCACCTCCGATCACAACGTACGGCAAAACTACAAATATTTACTTGTTGGTCACTTTCTGCACCGACAGTTGGCGCCGTCCGTGGGAAAGACGTTGTACGTTCAACACTTTTTTGTCATCGGATGGCCCATTTTTCCGCCACCTTCGCCATTGCAGGCTCAGGCGATACGATTCGCTTCGGCTCACTGGAGTTTCCTGCACTCCCACCTATTGGGATGGGGGTTCCACCCGTCTTCGAGCCATCCTAGGCCTTCCTCCTCGGAAGCCTGGACTTCATCGCTGACCAGCTCGGTGTACTACACCTCCGTGAGGAGGCACCCATTCCGGCGCTCGTTGGAGGGGCACCCTCCACCGGCTCCGGGACGCACGATGACTTCAACGACAAGGCATCTGCGCTTCATTCCGAGCAAACTCTCTGCTCGAAACCTGCTGTGAGTAATATACAAAATGTTATTTACTCTCTGTTTAGTATCTTCCATCGATCATCCGGAGGGACCGTGTTGAGCGCACCACGAACACCGTATGATCGGTTCCCCTACAGCCTCACGTCCTCCGCATACGTGTACGCTCGGGGGCTCCAAAGGATGCTGGCGCCATCCCCCCTCACATCTGAATTCATGGGAATGGCGAGCTATGCTCCTACCTCTTTCCACGAATTCCTAGATGACGAGGGCGAGAGCGATGGCTCCAGCATTGGCGACATGGCACCTCGCCACCGTCCATCCCGGGAGTGCGCTATGGCGGACGCTTTAGGACAACCACCAGTGGTCGTTGAGTCTGTGCAGACTCACACCCCTCTGGACCCGCGTGCAGGGGCCCTCGTGTCTACGTAAGCACATGTCGAGGAATTACGACAACGATGGCAGAATCAGTCGCCGCCTGAGCCGGCGCGCTCGGTGCAGCATGTTGCACCCCATGAGCATAACCTGGCGGGCGGCGCCCGGGGTCGCGCCCACCAGGTCCAACACGACATCATAAATGAAAGGAATGATCTCCCATAGTTCTCTCGGGCTAGCTAGAACATCACTGCTGCTGCAATGCTTCTGTGCGATGTTCTTGAGCCCATCGACCCCCAGGAGCGAGCAGTTTACCAGAACCTCCGGGTTCTGGTAGAAGCTGATGTAGACAAGGCCTGATCTTCCGAAAGGTATGATAGCGTCGATTGGTGGAGACTCGACGTTCATGATCTAGGCTTCGAACCAAGACTGATTCCGACCCCCGCAACCGTTACACCACTGCTCCATTGGTTATCAACCACGCGAACACGATTGACCTCGCTGAGAAGGCTTTCCTGCAAGCGAGTCGAGAACACAAGCAAGATCGAGATGAACACAATCTGAAATTGCAAATAATTATGAGGCTTATGAAAACAAGGAGTTCAAGTCTTTATTCGAAAGGACTAATCGCCACAGGCGAACAAGATTAAGAACTGAGGCCCTAGTTCACAGCAAGCAGCCTTGGCGGCACAGTTCTAGCAAAATGATGTATGTTTCATGAGAAAATCAAGAACTAAACAAAACCCAAACCCTAATGGAGGGGTGGCGGCTGTTTATGAAGACTCTAGGGTCATGCAAGACCCCAGTATGCGCCCCTAATGGGCCCAAACACGATACATGATCCAACGGACCAAAAGACGGTGTCGCAGCACCCTGACAGATTCTGGATGCTGACTTATGACTTTGATTCACATTGATTCCGAATAGCTTTTGATGTGAGACCACTTGGGTTGGCTTCCTTATCAAATTAGCTTTCTATCCATATGTGGATCGTCGAAAATGGAGTCCGGATGCATCCTGGGTGACAAGTTTAAGACAGACTGGTCCTGGAACCCGAGATGGACTCCAACTTCAGTTGGACTAGGCCTCCACCATGAAAAAGATGAATTGGACGCCCATGCTGGACCTCCTCCTCTCCTTGGCTTGTATGCGATGAAGTAGTGATGTCCTCATCATCCTCCCTTTCTTGAATTGAAGTCGTCCTCGACTGAAGTAGATCGTCTCCTCCATTGGATGACAGCAACGATGGCTTCAGAAGAAGACGTTCATCTTGGCCCCCCATCCTTCGCAAAGGCAGCTGCCATGGTGGCTTCCCTGCTAGGAATTCATCCTCCTTCTCCTGTAAAAGGTTAGTACCAACAAGAGGCATAGCACTAGGAGTAGAATCAAGTAGACATATAGGCGATGTACAAGTTAGAGCATAACATGGTTCATCATGAACAACAAGAACAGATTT